TTATTTCAGATTCTTTAAGTTCTTAAGCTTATAATTAATTTTTCTTTTGTTCAGAATTGAAAATAAACATGCCCAATGAAGACTTTTCAAACTTGTCATTCTGAAGGTCTCTAATGGCTTTAAAATGGTTAATAGGCAGTTTCCAAAAGTTATTAGAAAGTGAGGTTTGAGAATTTAGTGTCCTTTAAAAGGGTCCATTGCAATTGTGAACAAGATGGCTGAACCTGTCGTCTCCCAGCTCTCAAACTCGCAGAAAACCACTGTCCTGCATTCCCTCATGAGGAGCAGCCATCCAGAGCACATGCAAGCGATCTCCCATCCTCTCCTTATCCGGAGAGGTTCCAAGGAGCCGGTCTACTCACTGGTTCCTTGGTCTTTGCTGTGGTTGTTGACTCCACTTTTGCAGAGCTGTCTTCAGTTCACCATACCTCCCCCGGAAGGTCAGTATATTAAAATTGCTGATGAATATTCAGTCTGCAGCCTCCATATCAAGATTAATTCTGAACTATAGACTTTATGGCTACAAAATCAGACCTGCTTTTATGACTTTCCTGTTTTTTTCCCCAACCTCTGCTTTTTCTATTACATTGTTTAATGAAGAGTTCTGTAAAACTCAAAAACTGTGTCAGTCATTGGGGGTGTTTTGATCAATCCTAGTAATGATATTGACCAACTGTGGGTTTTAGTATTTATTTCTCACAGACTAGACCATTATCTTTGGATGTTTAAGTAGGCAAAGGGTTAAAGAGAACTTGGCACTCAAAAGTATGTTCTGTAAAAACTGCTTCATTAAGGTTTGTGGCTTTGTGTATTTCCAAAGCAGAATGCTTTACTTGAACATTGAAAGATCATAGTTAAGGATCATCTAGATCTTGGCCAAACATTTATTTACTCATAATATGTTTTTTCCTGCCTCCAAAAGTCCAATGTATATTTTTAAGCCATTCAGTTGCTATAGTGTCATAGAAGTTAAGTGAGTATCTTAGTACCTTTGTTAGAAATACAGACAGATAGAATGGATTTACCTAACAATTTAAGAGCAAAATAGTTCAAAGTATATGTACAGTGGTACCTCGGTTCACGAGCGCTTCTGTTCACGACCAATTCGGGTCACAAACAGCTCCGTTCGCAAAATTTTGCCTCTGTTCGCGAACGCCGGATCAGGTTACGAACAGGATCTGCGGCCATTTTCCTTCCCATGACACG